GTTTTCAATGTCTTCATATCTTCTGGGTTTAGAAAACTTCTTTGATTTGTCGGCCATTGCCACGGTATTGTCTGGTCTACGCTTTCTTTCTTGATGTCTGTTACTTCGATGATTTTGCCTATCCGGGTTGTCTTGATTGCTTCTATCCGGGAACCTTTCTCGTGTTTTTTCTTCTGCGGTAATCATTTTTTCTACTGTTCGTCTGAATTCTTCATTGTTTCTCGGATTTTCTTTACAGAAATCTTGAAATTGCCACCTAGCCATGATTCCATGAGAGAAAGCTTCAATTACTTCTCGTTCGGTGATGTCATGCACTTGAGCCCGCAGTTCACCGAATCGCCGATAGTAATTTCTGAGACTTTCGCCCCCCTTTTGCTTGAGTCCTTTCAGTTCGGCATGAGTGATCGGGTGTGTGATGATACCTGCGAAATTTTCGCAGAAAGCTCTTTGCAAGTCTTCCCAAGTTCTGATCGATCCTTAGGTTCAATTTATCAAACCATTGGAGGGGCATCGTTTCCAGTGCCATGGGGAAGAACAAGGTTTTAATATCATCGTCTCCTCCGGCTAGTTCAATTGATTGTGAATATATTCTGAGCCATTGTCTTGGTTCGGTTTTGCCATCATACTTGGAGTGATTAGACGGTTTGAATTTGTGAGGTAATCGAACTGATGCCAACCTGTTTGCAAAATAGGGGAATCATCATGCGTTTGGCTTCCTTGAATTCAGATTCGGCTCCCTCTTACGCCAAGTGTTGTTTTGATGGGAATAATTCTACGAGGTTTGTCTGGTAGGCCCTCTACTCCCCGGTCTTCCTTGGTTGTTCAAATTGATGGCCCCGACTATGTTCCCTCCTGCTTTCCCCGTTATGGCTTCCGCCTGGTCCAAGTCTTTCAAAAGCGGACTTCCTTTGATTTTGATCTTCTTGCCTATGGGTTGTTGATCTGGCAGGTATTCTTGATCGGGTTCTCTCTTCATGTGTTCTTGGGATCGTTGACCGGAGCAAGTCCTGGAGCTGTTCGTACTTCTCCCCGTGATGTGAAGTTGCCCTGAGTTCTTCTAATGCTTCTCGAATCTTATCGTAAGGCGTACTCACTTGTCGTCTCCCTTGACCTCTTGTTGTGATTTTCTTTTGTCGTATTCACCAATTACGACTCAGTATCTAGTCCAGCTTCTCTGCCGTCGGCGCTTGGTCTTTGGCGCCCTTGTTTCAACTTGTTTTTCCTTTCTCGAGCCTGTCTCTGACTTTCGGTTTCTCCATCGTAGCCCTGAGCAAAGGGTGATATGTTGGATTCTGATTCATCTGATGACCTGACATCGGGTGCTTCTGGGGGGTTTAATGGCGACCGAGGGCGTCGAACCATCAGCACTTCCCGTGCGTGAGCTGTTCCGTTATTGTCGTTAGTTGTCATACTGTCGGAGTTGCTGATGACTTGATGACTGCGCCTCGGCGTCGTGATTGAGTCTCCCTCTTGGTAAGGTAGAATAGCCGTTGTCGTTGTCTCCGACTAGTTGGGTTCCGCTATCCTCGAATGTATCCTGGCCGGATGATGATAATCTGATCTTGCGATGTTATCGTTAGAACAAGACCCTCCCCGAGCTCCTGCTGCTGGTATCCCAAGTGTTGATTTGAAAGACCTTTCAGATTTGTCCCGATAGGATTTTGTCGTGTTGTCCAAATTTCAAATGGAAAAGAACTCGGCCTTTTGAAAAAAGCGAGGATAATCCGAAGTTGTTTTGGGTTGTATTCGGAATCTTGCCAAACAAGAACTTCGACTTCTTGAAAGCACTCGAATAAGACTTCATCTCGAATACGGAGCTTGAATTGAGTCGGATGGAATCTTATTGAATCGGGTATTATGAGTCACGCGAATCTTCCGATGAGTTGATCCGTCGTAGTTGTCGAAATAGAGGATTCTTCATGATGATCCGGATCTTTAAGGAGATGACTTTGAAGCTTGCCGTAGTTATGCGCCTCGCGATCCACGAGTAGAAGATGAAAATCGATCCGTCGGGAAGATCATGTTATTGAGGTCCATCGAGCTCTCGGATGCAAAGTCGCCGAAGTCCCCTACCGCGCGCCAAATGTCGATGTTTTACCATCGATAGCCTACCACAGGGTACCGTGGTAGTATCGTTCGAGTTTGGTATGCTATGCTAAACTCGATGGTGAACGCAAGAGACACATTTATCTGGTTCAGCCCCTCGATCGTAGATCGAGTAATGCGACCGTTCGATCGGCGTTTGCCTTTTTGCGTTGGATTGATTATGAAGTGTTATGTCGTACCAATTGTCCCCTTCTTTAGGAGCCCTGGCCTCCTTTATATATTCAGGAGGCCGGAGTCCTAATCGGTTTACAATGAGATTTCCTAGTAGGATTACTTAATAGTTCTATTACTAAGATTACATGGGAAGAACCCTAGTTGAACTAGATCTTCTCTCTCTTGCGGGGTATCCTGTGGGTCCCGCATCGACACTTGATAAGGAAAGAAATATTTTTCCTTTTTTCTTTAAGAGCACCATGCATTCTTCGGACAACCGGAATCTTCGGCTATAATCGTGGTTTACTGCTCTCTGTTCTGACTAGAATGTTGGCACATTTGGTTGGACAATGTTTCAATCAGTTAGAGATGACATGAAGACGGATCGCATTAGTCGAAGGAGATCGAACGACGTGTCGCAGCATAATACATGGTGCTCGGGGACTAGCTGTGGGGGTATTAACCCCTATACCCTTATGGCTAGGCTCGGGCTGGCCCGGGGATCTGGCTCACTAGAAGATGACGCGCGGTCCAACCAATTTGTTTGGAGTCCCGCGCAAGAAATCAAGGCAGATTTGGAGATCAAGCAAGATCCTGGTCGGTTAGAATATGAATCCTTATCCGGCCACCTATGGTAGTTGTAACTGATTAGGATTAGTTTCCAGATCTGTAACCCTGTCCCCAGACTATATAAGGCGGGCAGGGGACCCCTTAAAAAACACATCTCATTGACATACAACAATACAATCAGACGCAGGACGTAGATATTGCGCCCTCACGGTGGCTAAACCTGGATAAAACCTCGTGTCTGTCTTGCGTCATTATCTTGTTCGTAGCTTGCGCACCTGTCTACCAACAATCTACTACCTTGGGCATATCTCTAGATAGACTGCCGACCATATTTCGTCGACATTTGACATACAGGCAGAGGCCATCGTCTTTTGCTAGCTTAATTGCCAATAATGAGCGTGGCATGCATGTGCGGCCATTGATGAGAAGGCGTGCGTACATCGTCGATCGAGTTTCATTTCGATTTGAAGTTGCAGCAGTAGTAATGCTAATGCAAATGCAAATGCAAATGCAAAAGATAGAATAATAAAGCGCACACGTCAACCAGGGCATCGACGGCAGGCCGGGCCCGCCTGCCAGACAGTGTTCAGCGGCGGCCCACTTGTGGTTAATTGGCTGGTCCTTCGGATGCCTCGGAGGTGGGCCCCGGACCCACACCAAAACGGACCACCCGCTCTCCCCTCACTTTTTACCGTGGTCCCCCATTCATTCCGTTACGCCGCCAATGGTCGTTACGCTACGGTGGATTGGATGCATCCATCCACCGTAGAGCCGCTGCCATGATCTGTTAACTCTGTTGACTGTTTCTGCGTCTGCGGTGAGCGACCCGCAGGCGTTGGGGATTGGGGAACGTAGTACGCCCAGCCCAAGGCCAATTTGCAGCGTTCGTTGCTGTGCTACGCTACAACAGATACTTAAATTATTTGATTTGTTGCAGTCAGCTCGACTTGTATTCCTGAGAGACATGCATGAAAACGAAGGATCTGTTTTGTATCCATGGAAATGATATGGCTTCACGAATTGTTTGTTTTTTTACAAAATAAATAAATTGGTGCTATTTTCCTTCAAAAAAAATCATACGTTGTATATTCCAATAATTTAGCAAAGATGTTTACTCCCACAATTACACCGTTGTGCCATACCGTCACCCTCCCTTTCCCGCTACATCTAGGCAGCTAGCCTCTTCGCTCTCTCGCCCCTACCGTGCGACGGTGCCTGCCAATCCTCCTTCCCTCGCCATCCATCACCAACACGTCGATCCCTAGCCATATTTCTTTGCAGTCGTTGACCTTTTTCCTAGAACGGATTAGAATTAGGACTTCTTATTCTCTAGTAGTGTTCTTATGCTGTAGTAGAGCAATTTTTGTTTAGCACTAGGTAAATGCCCGTGCGTTGCAACGGGAACACATAATACCACGATAACATATATATGAGCGTGTGTTATACTGTTATCTAAAATAGATACCGCAATCATAACTATAATACATAGGTAAATGTCCGTGCGTTGCAACGGGGAAAAAAAAAATGTAATGTCATGATAATATAAGTATGAGCGTGTGTTGTACTGTACCTAAAAAACGATAATACGAACATGATTATTTGCAATATCACTATTACACGCTTCATCGTCCATTGGAACTCCTCGCAGGAACGTTTCTACATTTCTTGGGTCAAGCTCCCTGTTGGTTGAGCTTAGCTAGGCTGTGTCATAATTTAGTAGAGGATCATAAGGATTTTAATTTAGTTACCCAATAAAACAGTCATACAAACTAAAGGTGCTCAACAACCATTCATTTTGAGAACTAATTCCAATTAACCAGACATGTGTATTATTAAGAAATACTTTGCTAGCCAAAGAAAATTTTATATCATAGAATATATGCCATGTTCCTTAATTGCCGGTATACACAGGTAGTCGAGTTGCGGACAATACTTAATTGAGTTAGCAAATCTTCTAAATTGCAAGGCAAACTATTAGATAGACTATTTATCTGCTATGGCTTGCTTACTTTGGCAGAACTACCAAAACGTGGATGGAACAGGCATGAAAAAACTGACCAAACTGTGACTATGTTGATGTAACTTAGTTTTTTTTGGGCAGTCCATAGATGATTCTGAGAAGCTGTCCAAATGTCTGAGAAGCTGTCCAAATTTCTAAGGATCTTTACTGAATGGCGGTCACAACTATGACCATCCAAATGTCTTTTGTTCCCATAATACAATGCAAATTTGGACAAATCCACCTAAGAACTAAAAACCAGTATCACGTAATTCCAGGTAGAAAAAATACTTGAGTTCCATATTTGCGACGAGCTAACAGTAATTAAAGAGCAAATAGAATTAAGTGCTGAGCGAGCGAAGCAAGCATTGCAGTCTATAACACGTGGATGTGGAGATCCCGCTGGAGCAGCCCACCGTGATGATCCACACCGCCTCTAGAGCTTGCTCATCGAGATCTGCCTAGACACGTGCATGGCCACGTCCACGTGCTGCGCCGTGCTGCCGCCGTCGAGGCAGGTGAACTTCGAGGTGGGGGTGGTCAACTGCAACATGCAGGGGCGCAAGAAGCGGCACGCGTACCTCTTGTCGAGGTGGAGCCGTGGGCCAAGGTGTCTGGGTTCACCAAGGTGGATCTGGCTTCCGGCGATCTCGCCAGGTTCGACTGTGGCGAGGGCCACTTCAGCGGGGAGCCCTGCTTCGTGTTCGTTGAGGGTGCGCGCGGCGTGGACGACTCGACGATTGATTCTTGATTTCTTATTGCCGGCTTTCTAGGCAAGAGGCACTCCGTATTTTTTGGGTGACAGTTTTTTTAAGGAAAGCAACAGAAGAGGCACGCACGCAGTGGAACCTGGAGGAGCGCGGATCTCGCACGCACGTAGTGAAATGAAAGCCCGAGGGGCGCTGATCGCAGGGCACGCGGTGAAAGTATGCGGGTGAACGAAAACCTTCGCTGCCTTTTAGTTGTAGAGATACCTTGAACATCTACAAATTTAGGATCTAATTATGACTTGTGTCTTAGGAAATAAAATAAAATTCTATATTGCCAATATTTTACCTCTTCAATGCACTTAAACACATTTTTAATTGTACGTTGAATGCAAAATAATTTGGTAATAAGAGAGAGGATCGGAAAAGATATTGTGCTATGGAATCATCAAACCACCCCACTTATTATATTCCTTCAAGACATGAAAACCGAATCATATAAAAAATAATATGATATTTTTGCATGCCAGTTTCAACCTAAATGTCTGCAAAATTCCTTTATAAAAAACAAATACATTAGCAGTGTCTTCTGCAAAATTTTATTCTTTGAAGCATCTAAACAATCATTTTTTGTCGAATCCAGTGCCACATAATTATAATAAATTTCAAAGATGTTAACTCTCCCAATTCGGACAACAAAATGATCGGATGTCGTGACACCTGACCACCATCTCCCCCGCCACCCATAGCTAGCAGTGACTACACCACTATGCCATTCTGCCGCCCTCCCTCCCCACTGCCTCTCGCCTGTTTGCTCTCTGACCCCCATCACCGACCATGCTTTTCCACCCATCATCGTGTCCATCCCTTTATAGGTGTCGACCTCCTTCCTTGAACTCTAACTCAGATAGATCATTTCTACGTGGGCGTGCTCGTAGTGCACGCTAGGGTTCATGTACAAAGACAGTTACGAATCTAATTGTGACTTGCAACATTGTTGTTCCCAGCAAAAATTGTAACACGTGGTCATTCCCCTTGCCACGACATATTTGATTGCGGACTATCATTCATTAAGAGATTATAGGCCCCGTTCGGCTTACCCCATATTCGGCTGGTTCGGCTTCTTTTTTCAGCTGGAACAGTGTTTTTCTCTCACAACAATTCAGCCATAACAGTGTTTTTCAGCCAATTTCAGCCAAAATTCTGCCAGCCGAACGGGGCCTATAAGCATTGATTATAAAGAAAAAAGGTAGAAAGTAAAAAGAGACAGTATGCTATTTGCATATCGAATCTTAACTTGTATTTCTTCAAAACATATGCAGAGTTGAGGCCCTATTTTGCAACCATTGATATGAATAGAGATTAGAGTATGCCATTTTTGCAGGGCGCTTTATTAGAGAGGAAAAAAACGCATCAATTGAAAATGTTATGAATGAAATACGTATGGAAAGTATTTCCACGGAAACTTTACTCACCACCAAAGCTGTTGCTGCATCTTTTCCGCTAGTACCAGCAATCATTTTGGCGGGATTATTCCTAGATGCCATACATCCTATAATTTGGCAAGATGTAACTCTTCTTGATTCACAAGGAGTAAACCTAAAAAATGAAAACCCTGCAATTCAATGTACTCCCTCCGTCTATTTTTACTGCCGCTTTTTGAGAAGCCAAACGCAGTTAACTTTGACCAAATAAATATGTATACAAGAAAACATTGGTATTTATGGTACATAATTAATATCATCGTTGAATCTATTTTTATGATAATTTTATTTAGTCATACAAATATTATTAATATTTTTTATAAACCCGATCAAACTTACCGGCACGAATAATTAGAACCGGCACTCATTTAAGAGTACCACCTACTCCCTCCGTACCCGAAATTCTTGACGTCCTGGGCTCCCGTCGTGTTTTCACAAAACCTGACGTTCTACGCTCGCTCGGCCGCGCTCGGACGGGTTTACCCCTGGCGCTCGCGTCCGTTCCGCTCGCCACCGGACTCGGCATTAATTGCTCGATGCCTCGTTTCTCTTGGTCGCCGCCCGTTCATGGCCTCCTTTCCTGCTCGCTTCCTCGCCGCCATCGTTTAGGGTTGGTCGCGCCAACAACGCGTTTAGGGTTCGCCGCCACGCTCTCCTGCTCGCTCGAGGCCATGGAGTCCGTCAAGGCGCAGCACTCCGTCGGCGCGCTGGACTTGGAGGCCATGAAGTCCGTTGATGCGCTCGTCTCCGTCAACGCGCTGGACTCTGATGTGGCCATGTAGTCCGTCGATGTTGTGTCGGACTCCGTCGACGTCGTCGTGCCGGACTCCGTCGAGCTTGTGCCGGACTCCGTCGAGGATGTCCTAGACGACGACGAGGTCGTGCACTGTCCTCGCTGCGGCACGTTACAAGCTTATTCATAGTAAAATGTAGTCACGGCATGATCTAAATTTAGGGAAAACAACAAGCTTATTCATAGTACTCACGGCATGATATAAATATAGGAATAAAACAAGCATTTTAATAGTACATAATCAAAATAATGGCCATGCTTACCAGCTAGGTTTTGTACGTAATCAAAATCAACAGCTCCAAATTCATCTAGTGGCAAGTTCAAATCGAATCCTATAAAAAAAAGAAAGAACATGCAGCAGGAGAAAAAAAATGGTGTTTTACATGCACAAGACAAGAAGAGGTAGTACCGTTGCCATGCTCGTCATCTTCAGGCTCGTTCAAATCAAATCCAGCGTTGCCGTCGTCACCTTCATGCTCGTTGAGATCCAAGGGAAGGTTGCCGTCGTCATCATCCTCTAAACGGACGTTTAGATCAAAGCCGAAGCAAGACTCAGCCATTGCGCCGTAGATGTGGAAGGAGAAAAGCTAAGCCATGTGAGGAAGCAAGCTAGCAAGCAACGAAGTGAGGAGATGAGGCGTTTAAGCAAGCAAGGCCGGGGGAAAGACTAAGTTTTATTACGCACCGTGGAACTCAAACGATGGAGCTGGCGAGCGCTAAAATTAGAATCCCGTGGCGCCAATGCAAACAACGAAAAAATTACGGTGCAACACGGCCGTAGCGCCAAGAAACACGCTCAAACATGCCCAAATGAGAAAACAAACGCGTCCAGCGACTTCTGCAGCTCAGCGCGCGCCATGACCAATCCTTTGCAAAAACTGACCTAAAAAACGCGCCACACAGGGCCCAACAGTGCCATACAAAAAATCCCATGCAAATGAAGCCCCCAGCAAAAACATTGTGGCCGCCAGGAATCGACCCCAGCGCCGCCAGGAATCGACCCCAGCGCCGCCACTCTCACGCCTCAGTGCACTAGCCATCTGCTATGGGGTAACTTTCTCGTATGAGATACACGCGCAACCATATTTAATAGGGACAGATAGAGAAAAATACCCTCTAATTAATTACTCCTTGGTAAGCACAATTATGTCCTAAACGTCGAGAATTTCGGGTATGGAGGGAGTATATACCATCTAGTTGTTGGTACGAGCCCGCACGGTTATCGTGCGTTACTGACAACAGTGTGACTGATCACACACACTCAGGCCATGTTTAGATTGCAAAAAATTTCAACCCGATGAATAGTAGCACTTTCGTCTTATTTGGTAAATATTGTCTAATCGTAGACCAACTAAGCTCAAAAGATTCATCTCGTGATTTCTAACTAAACTATGTAATTAGTTATTTTTTTTACCTACATTTAATGCTCCATGCAAACGATTAAAAATTGATGTGATAAAAAGAGAGTGAAAAAACTTAGAATTTAGAGATGATCTAAACAAAGGCCTCAATCCAAACTGGCGTTGAGAACGAAAAAACCATAGATAAAACGAGGCCCTGTATTATTCGTATTTATGACGCCAGTTTGGTGGAAGGCCTCAGTACAGTCTGACTTTGCTGGACTGTAATGCACGTACGCACACACAGAGCAGCAGCAGATCCATCTTTTCGTTACCAGCAGCAGCAGGAGGCCATCTTCCTAATCCTATCCTAACCCCCGCAATTAGTTGGCGCGACTGCAGATTTGGGAAGGCACAGGAACCGTAAAGCCCTCCCTATACTTCCCCGTATTTTCGTTCAGCTCCTTGCGCTTGCGGTCCGGAGGACCTGTTTGCCAATCCGGTAATCTAGAGGGGCAATGCGGGTACGGCTGGTCGGGGGCTCGAGGCCGGAGCGGCGGCACTAGTATAAATCGGCGCGGCGCTCAAAGCCCTTCCTCCTCCGCCTCCATCCGCCTCGCTTCCCGTACTCCTCTCTTCCTTTCTCTCTCTCCGCGCACACACGCAGTCTGAGAGGGTGTGCGGTGCTCGAGGGGCGAGGAGCGGCGGGACATGGCAGAGGCGGGCTCTTCCGCGGCGAGGACCAGGACGGCGGGGCTGGCCGCCGCGGCGGCGGCGCTCCTCGTCCTCGTCGTGGTCGCCGGCAGCGCGGCGCTCCCTGGCGGGCGGGTGACGGTCCTCCACGGCCTCCGGTGAGTTCTCTCCTCGCCGTCTAATGTGGTTGCGCCCGTGGGCTCTGCTTGGGGTTTTCGGTTGCCTCTGTTCCAGAATTTGCCACCGGAATTTTGGTACGGTTGGGGTCGCTTTGCTTTGCTACCGAGGCCGGGGCTTGTGCTGGAGCCATTCGATTTCTGTCGCCGCCGGGTCACCGTTCTCGAATTGTTTTTCATCTGCTCCGACGCCCGCACGACGTGGTGCCGCGCGGCGTCGTGCCACCCACCTGCTCCTCTACTAATCACTAACTGGCTGTACGTCGCAGGCACCGGAGCACGGCCGCGGCGGCCGTGGTGGCGGGCGGCGCGAGACGGTGGCTGCGGACTCCTCCTGGCCGCCGGCGGCGGCGGCGGCGACGAGGTGAGCGCGCTCCACCAATTCCTTCCATCCTCTGCTTTTCTCCTTTGCGCCTCCTCCGCCTGGGGTTTGCCAGGTGGGACGAATCCGGTGCGTCGGCCCATGCGGACTCGCGATCTGGGCCGTCCAATTCTCTCCTTTTGATTTACGTACGTTCGGTCCCCATCTAGATCCCGGAGCCGGAGGTAGCAGCTGCG